AAGACAGACAGACAGACAGACAGACAGACAGACAGACAGACAGACAGACAGACAGACAGGTAATGAGAATGGCTTGGGTTTTTGTCCTTGTTCTTTTACGCGGTGTTGGTAAAGCGGAGTTTTAAGAGAAAAGGTTGGTTAGGAAAACGAAGGCCGTGCACAATATAAAATTATGAACAAAAATGCGTCAAACAAAATAACTTGCGTAAGCAGCTAACGATAACAAGTATTTAGCAGGGACGTAAGCCCAGACAGACAGACCGACCAAATCCAGGTGTGTACTCAGACAGACAGATAGACAGACAGACAGACAGACAGACAGTGAACCAGTTTCAGATCTGCACTTACAAAGACAGACAGACAGACAGCACACCAGTTCCAGATGCGTACTTACAAAGACAGAGTAAAAAGTATACCAGTTCCATGTGTGTACTCACAACGGCAGACAGACAGACAAAGAAGCTGACAGAGAGACAGACAGAGAGTGCATACTACCATGTCCACGTGTGTACTCACAAAGGTGCCAAGTGCCTGGCCTTGAGCCGGCTCACGGAGCCCGGGCCGGGCTTGTCGATGAGCAACATGGCGCCGCCTTCACATACTGCCCCGCCCCCACCACGCCCCCCTGCGGCCAAGCGCCGGCCGCTGAGCACCGGGGACAACACCGCTCCTCCGCGCGCGGACCTCACCTTGACCTACTTAGCGATCGGCCCCAACTGGCGCCAAATGACCAATCGTTTCCACCTCCTCCACTGGCTGCATATATACAGTACGTAAGTCCTCCACTGGCAGAATGTAAACTGTGCTAAAGTCACCAAATCCCCTGACGTCCGGGTGGGATTTGCAAAAATGTCAACACTGAGTTGGTGACTCGGGGAATACTAATGAACTAGAGTTCAAACTAGAAGCTATCCTGTTCAGTCCGTAGATGAAGAAGGGTTAACCGAGCAGTACAGTAGCAGTCACACAAGTTGCAGTCAATCCAAAGTGAAGAAGTACATGTAATTAACTAAATCCAGCGTTGTCGTCCGTTGAGGGAGAAGTCACCCAAATGATGAACTTCATCTATATCCATTACAGAAGTCCAAGGATATAGGAGTCACCGAAGTAGTGAACTATATCCAATACGGTAGTCCAACGGAAAAGAAAGAAGCACTGAAGTTATGAACCATATCCAAAAATGTAGTCCTTTGGAAAACGGGTCACTCTAGTTATGAACTATATACAGTTACAATGCAGTCGTCCATGAGAAAAGGAGGATTCACTCAAGTTATGAACTATATCCAGAAGGACAGAAGTCCATAAGAAATGGAGTCACAAAATTTATAAATTAAATCCAGAGCAGTAGTCCTTGCAAAAAGAAATGCTACTCAGTAATGGAGAGACACTACACTTTCCTTCCTTTTACAATACACCTTTCCTCATCTGCACAACAGAAAAAGTCGACTATTTCAACAATATGTATTCGTGGTTATTCTAAAAGCACGCGCGCGGTGTGGAGACGTACAGAAAAACACGTACCGCGGCCAGCCTGAAAAGCTGGATTTCAATTCCAATCACGGCTTATGTGACAATTACGCGGACACCATTAAAGAGCATTGTACCCTTTATGGAGTGGTTGTCCACATTTATTGCGAGGAGTTTACATACGCATTGAGTTTTACTACAAAGCTGGAGCATAGCTACAGAACATGACATTTAAATAGCCCGTTAGCGGAGGGTGGGTAATGGGTATGTCCCCCACCCAAAAAAACTATCTGGGAGGGATAAAATAGATGAAAACAATCTATAGGAAGAATAATTAAAATTAATGTAAACATTAATATTCACAATAATATCCTCTTTTTTTCCTTCTCTCAGTTGAAATATCATCTTTTTTTCAATCGCTGTCAATGATTATTTGATACAAATTAGATCATTATCGGGGTACTTGAAAAGGGAGCGTAGGGACAGAAGAGAAACAAACAAACAAAGTAACTCCCCCAAATAAACACGCCCCGTTAGTAGACGCAACGGATAGTCGTTTACAACACAAGGTTCCAAAGCTCAAATTATACTCACAACGAGATAGCTTCGAACACCGAGCGGACACGACATAATAATATTCTCACGGGCGGACCAACCTCGTTGAAAAGTTAACCCGCAGGTAATTGCAACAGGTCCCCCAAAATCGAGGGCTTTCCCTTTGATTTCAGCCTGTGGACAGAGCGCTCACACTCCGCTCTGACTCACCCTCTCGTGAATGTCGCTACACTGACGGGCTAAATCGGTGGAAAAACACGGCAGGGGAGCTGCAAGCCGAGTGGGCCGCGAAATGGGACGCCATTTTTGGACCTTCTAACGTGGGATGAAAACTACGGGTCGAATTGTGCACCTGGTGTTAAACACCTACGTGTTTAAGGAATGGTGGGGAAAGGGGGGGGGGGGGAGGAGGGGTGACGCGTCCGAAAATGACACGGAGATAGCGGGAGTGAGGTAGGCTCGGCGGTATAACATGAGGAGAGATGTAGACTCGACAAATATGTATAAAAACACATTCTGCAAGAAAGCTCTCTCTCTCTCTCTCTCTCTCTCTCTCTCTCTCTCTCTCTCTCTCTCTCCACACACACACACACACACACACACACACACACACACACACACACAC